GGGGGGGGGCTGAACGTAGAAAAATAGTGGAGTAAGGAGAATTTTAGGATAATATTTTGGTTAAATGTAGATATGAAAGGACAGGATGGAGGAGTTAGGAAGGATGTGACTGGATAAAGGAGTTAATAAGACTGTATGCAGGAGTTAGGAAGGATTAGACTGTATGAAGGAGATAGGAAGGTAAGGTCATTATGGAGAAGATGGGACGGTTAAGACTGAATGGTGGAGAAGGAAGGATAAGACTGGATGGAGGAGTTAGAAAAGATAAGACTGCTCGGAGGAGATAGGAAGGAAAAGACTGGATAGAGGCGTTAGGAAAGAAAGACTGGATGGAGGAGATAGGAAGGATAAGACTGAATGGAAGAGTTAGGAAGGATAAGATTGGATTTAGAATTCAGGAAAGATAAGACTGCATGGAGAAAATAGGAAGGAAAAGACTGAATGGAGGAGTTAGGAAGGATAACACTGGATGGATGAGTTAGAAAAGATAAGACTGCATGGAGGAGAAAGGAAGGAAAAGACTGAATGGAGGAGTTAGGAAAGATAAGACTGGATGGAGGAGTTCGGAAGGATGAGGCTGTACGGAGAGATAGGAAGGAAAGACTGAATGGAGGAGTTAAAGGATAAGATTGGATTTAGGAGCTAGGAAAGATAAAACTGCGTGGAGAAAATAGGAAGAAAAAAATTGGATGGAGGAGTTAGGAAAGATGAGGCTGCATGGAGAGATAGGAAGGAAATACTGAATGGAGGAGTTAATAGGAAGAAAAAGATTGGATGGAGGAGTTAGGAAGGATGAAGCTGCATGGAGGAGATAGGAAGGAAAGACTGAATGGAGGAGTTAGGAAGGATGAGGCTTGATGGAGGAGTTAGGAAGGATGAGGCTGAACGGAGGAAATAGGAATGAAAGACTGGATGGAGGAGTTAGGAAAGATAAGACTGCATGGAGGAGATAGGAAGGAAAGACTGGATGGAGGAGTTAGGAAAGATAAGACTGCATGGACGAGATAGGAATGATAAGGCTTGATGGAGGAGGAATAAAAGCTAGAAGAGAGGGGTTGATGATAAACCTGAAGGTTGATGAAGGAAGTGGATCAGGGTCGGTAGTTGAGTAGGGAGAAATGTAGATCTAAAAGATAAAAAACCTTGCTTCCTGTATTCTCAGTCATTAGTATACGACGCTCTTTTTATTTTAAAAACACATTTTGGTTTCAGAATACATAATTCAAAATAAGGTTATGGTGATGGACCAAACCTCTGTTGATAAATAAGTAGATGTTATTTTCACATTTTTTGAAAATACATTTCGGTCTGGGTTGACCCTTGTCAGTTCTTGAGATTGTTTCTGTCATGAAGATTAAAAACAAACTAAATAATAGTATCTAACATAATACATAATAATGATCTGTTTCAATCTGTTCAATATATTTTCTACTAAGTTTAAATGTTTCCAAATAAAAGGTATCCTCACGTTACCCCCATTTCCCCTCCCCTTCTCTCCCATCTTTGTTTCATGACATGAATCTAAGAACCTTCATATTCTGTTTAAATGTGTTGAAACTGATAATTTATGCACGCAGTGCTGCTGGCTTTGTCTCATGCTGCGACTTTCTTTTTATAAGAGAGTAGATGCAAGGGTGGGGGTACACTCCGTCCCCCCAAGGGGGTGGGGTGTAGTCCAAACATTGTATGTTATCAGTATTAGTATCTTAAATTTATTTGTTTACGTTGTCAGTGTACAGTTACATACTGCACAAATATTATGGTACTCCTAGCTTAACAATAACACATACACAAATTAGTCAAAAATCCCCCTCCCCTCTACACCCTACACCCCCCCCCCCGCCCTTAGAAAAATCCCCCTTGATACCCTGAGCCCTACCCGTATATAAATCCCCCTACACCCGCATATTATCAAATTTATCGCGTGGGAAAGGACAAAAATGTTACTCCCACTTTTTTATCAGATGAAAAATATACATTAATTGTACGAAGCACTGAGGTCTGTTTTATAAGTATTTAAACAGTAAATAAAACTTAAACCAATTTCTTTCACCACGATATTCTACCAGATAGATAGATAGATATTGTGTAGGTCACATTGACCTTATGCATAGATATATATGCAGACAGATTTCATCACCTTAGGTTAGGTGGTCCTACTTGGTTTAGGGGGGGGTCATGGTCAGGGGATGGGGTGGAGATTATTGCAACTTATTATGAAGGAGGGGTAATATACGTTTTTATGACAAAAATAAATTTAACGAAATTGAGTTTTTGCCACAAACTCTGATTTTCAAATTCCTATATATTTGCGGATTCAATGTCACAGACCTTAGATATACCAAACTATGAATTCGGTTAGGTTTGAAATATCAAAGGTTTACACAATCAGGTTGTAAAGATAAAGTGAACAGTTGAGTTTGTAACAAAGACTCAATTTCTTAGTTTTTTTTTCGTCTAAAAAATACCTTTTTATGAATGGTGGATTTTTCTTAAGTTTTAGTAGCTTTAGATATATATTAATATCCCCCCTTCCGCTCAAAGGTTTATGTTTTTACAGACCCACTGTCTCTATACATGCAGAGTTCAGACGCACATGTTTCAATACGTCCTTCCTCTCACTCACCCTACTCTTCGCTCTCATACTTTCACCAAAGTTTCCCGAGACGTACTTTAGCACGCACAGACACACACACACACGGACACTCACTCAAACTTGTACTGTGCATTGAGCATGGTTAGGTGCACAGCAAACAAATATTATTGTACAGTTTGCGCACTACACTGCACACAAATATAATCCGTGCAAACACTGTAAGGTCAAATGGGTCTTATGAATACACAAATAACACTTAGACCGAGTAATAACAAACATGAATAGTGAATAGTGGTATTCAATTTTCTTCTGTACAATGTACATGACATAAGTACACCCGATCACAGGCTCTGGACGCAGTTGAGATTTACTCACAAAGGCTGAGTTCACAATACATGCGTTAGATACGCTTTGTTGCCTTTACGGGGAACTGAAGTAGATTTCAGTATTTAATTAGTCTTCTTTGTCTTGTTTGGTTCAACTAAAGGTCCCAATGATTGGACATTTTTAAACCTGGACATTTTACTGTCAGTAGTTAAAATTAGTAGGACAGTAACTAAGGTTAAATTTTATTCTAACTGTACATTGTACAAGGGAATTAAATGTATAAATATTTGCAGTTGCTTATAAATCTAAATGTTAAAACCAAGGCTTAGAATTGCCTAACTGTCCATTTTAGCCGTCTGAAGGCCTAATATTATAGGCCGACCTTTGCGTGCCAAATTAGGCAAACCCGCATCATAGCTGATGCAAAATTCATGCAAAAAATAAACTATTTAATATGAAATTTATAGACCAATCCTGTAAACCTTTTAAACTGCAGAAAACAGATGAAAGTTTTACTAAATATGAGCCTGCAGAATTTACAATCTGAAATATCATTCTTGGTTTAAGGTGCGACTAGTGGTTAGGTAATCAAAACAATCTTGTGCTAAAACAATTTATCACATTTGTTAGTTAGAAACATCGAGGTTCAGGATTGATCTTAACTGTAGGGTCGGTCTGGGTTGCTCTTGAGATAGCTTCTTGTAGATCTCATTCTCGTATATTCCTCGTATATAAAGGTAGTGATAATGGACGCTAATCCTTAAGTATGTAGGATGGGAACTACACCGAGAGCGTTCTGCGTAGTTGATGATTATACTGTAGCTTAGGTCATCTTCTATATGCTGGCAGGTAGAGAACTATCATCCCCCTGGTTAGGACTGTTCATGAAAATTTAAAGATAAATTTTTGCAGATGAAACTACTTGTCACTTGTATTTATTTTTAATAATTTCAGACCTAAGAATGAGATGATACAAGGATAGAATGGTACGTACACGAAGTGGCAGTGGACTACTAGGGCAGAAACAAGGACGAATGGAAGTGAGATTAAAATCTAGTGACGGGACGACTAGAAGTGTTCAGGTCAAAGCAATGGAATCCTTGGACGAAACATGTGAACTGTCAGATACTGTGAATCAGAAAAGAATTGGTGACTCGAACTGTGTTCGTGAATTGGAAAATCCTCGAAAACGTGCTCGATCCACGAGCCCCGTGAAGGAGGGAGAGGATTGGGTGTCCGGGGAGTGGCGAGGGGATGAGGGTCGAGAAGAGGTGTGGAGGGCAGAGGGAAGGTTGGAGGATGGATGGAGAGGAGAAGAAGAGAGTGAGGATAGTGAGGAGGATTTACCTCCTGGGGATAGGATGGCATATATTCATGTTGGCGAGGGTGGGGAGGCTGATCTCGAGGCTCAGCTTAAAGGTGATAATACTGGAACGCTTTTGTATTACAGATTTTTAACATTTTAGGAAAACGCTTAAATAAAAATCACAATTGGGTTTTAATGAATAATAATATAACTTTTTATAAACCGAAGTTTTTGTATGCAATGTCGGTTAGCAACTGTGTTTGACTATTTTCACGCTTGGCAACTCATTCTTTTTTCTGTTTTATATCATGGATTTATTTCTGCATTTGAAACCGGCTTTTTGTTTGTACTTTTAAATACTAATCTCTGCAAGTGCACGATCAGTTCTAAATTTTTTTAAAGATAGTATTTTAATAATTTCAGTTAATATATTGGCGTAATTGAATATTTAAATATCACTTTCTTTTTCATTCAATATTATATATTTATGTTTAAAGTTATCGTTATTATTATTATTATCATCCAGAAGAATCCTTGAGGGTTCTTTCCGGGCTTTCTCCTTTGTGTTTCAATATCTTTATGTTTCCATATTTTTGAGTTTTATATTGTGATGAATCTGATATTGTAGGTGAAGAGAACCTGGATATTCAGATACTAGAGGAAGAAGATCTACCAGATATTGATGAGACTGATATGATCCATGGACTTGATCACACTGGTGAGCAGGATTATAAATTTTGTTAACTAAGATCATATCGATTTAAAAAATCAAAACCTAAGTGATAATATGTGAGGGGGGTGGTGTTTGCATACATTTTACTGGAATAAATTAGGACCGCTAAGTAACTAGTTTAATAATAATAAAAAAGAAAAATATTTTTTTTTAAGATCTAGATATTTATTTACGTATCTACATTTTACAGGTTGTTAATATAGATTTAACACAATATTTTTTGCGATGTTATCGTGTTCATTGATAAGGTTGAAATCTAGAATTTTACAGATAAATTTTTTTAAGTTCTTTCAAGTTTGGATTTCTGGTAAAATTATATTAAAGTATTGATAAAGCAAAAGTTCGAAAAAAAACTTTATTATATATTAAAGGATATCATACTTTTGTGAAGAAAAATATTAACAGTTAATAATCAATGATTTAAAATCTGATCTAATAAGAAAATTCCAACCTTTGATTACCATCCTTGTTATTGTTTTGATCTTATTCTAAGGTGTCCCGAAGACCTTTTACATTAGTATACTAACATTTTTAGTAAAAATACAGTGTGAACGATGTTGTAAATTCTGAGCTTTTTAACTTCTGTTCGGGTTTAGAGAATAAAAAATTAAACCTGAATTTCAAACGTTTTTTTAAGCTTTAGAATCTGGTTCTTGAGATAATTATTTTGATTTTAATAAGAATTGTTTCATAATTTTGTGTCCAAGACTTGTTAATTTTCCAATTTTTTTACGAATTTTTAAAAACATATTTCTTTAGGAACTGCACGTGATTATATTGATGAAAGACATCGGTGTACAATACATTGTCCTATTGGATGTCAGGTAAACTAAACATTTTTTTTACTTAAATAGACTTCAAGCGTAATTCCAAGTGACCCTCCAAGCAGAAATGGCAATGCCCGATTCACAACTGTACCCTTGAAACCTTTAATTGATAAATTTTGCAATATTTTCAATTTTAATTCTTAATGTTCAGACTTATCTATTTTTCGGACGTCGGTGTTATTATGTATAAAGCTTGTCGCCATGTTTTATCCTTTCATTGAAATTTATATTGTTCTGTTTCCAGTTTTGACAAGATTGTGGCTTGTTATACAACATAATGGTCTTCTTTATTCAACCTGTGCTCCTCTTGTCAATTCTTCAAGGTTTTGTCTCGGGAATACAGAAAGATTAAATAACCTTGTTTTATTGTTTTTAATCAATGAAAAAAGATTAGAGTTTTTGCCTTGAATTTTGATCAATAAAAACTTCCTTTTTTCCATAAAGTGCATTGTTTCCCATGGATTATTGGATAATTTCAAAACTTTTAAAATGTCGTTCGATGTGAAAAAGGACTTTGAACGGAATTTCCAGTGACTCTAATTAAAAGGTCCGGTCCCGATTCACAACGGTCCATTTTTCCTCTTAACTGAGCAACAGTAAAAAGAATAAAGATACGCACGTAACTCTCCAGATGCATTAAAACTCAATTTATAAAACTAGAATTAACGAAAGATATTGTTTTCAGGGTCACCTGCGTCCTAATGAGATTGTTATCTATGAGAGCTTTAAGTTCGAGGGACGACTGCGCCGCCGGAAACGGTACAAGGGTCGTATCATCTACAATATCCGGTACAGAGATGCCAGGGATAGAGAACCTAGAGAGAGCAGGGAGAATAGACCTCAGACAGAATCTAGATCATCTTCATCCAGGTCAAATCTTATTCTATCAAAATCTTCCAAAAATTATTGTATCATTAGAAATCTAGATTTTGAGAAATTTAAACAATGTTAAAAACAAAAAACATAATTAACAATTTTAATGCTAAGCCAAGTTTTATGATGGAGTTAATTTTTAATATTTTGTTTGTTATATAATTTCAATATTTTAAAATATTTATAGTTTACGGGTTCCTGAGTAAAACCTTGGTCCCGATTTATCTGCTAAAAGATTAGGAAAAAATATGAGTTGTTAAAACTTTATACATTATGTCAAAGTATCTTATATCTCGACATGTTTTATCTCTCTGTACTATATGACATTGTTGAAATATGAATTTTGTATGCTTTTAGACACTGATGTTGCTAAGACACGTATACGTAGTACAGAACTGAATGTACCTTCATACACAGCCGTAGCAGCGAAAGCTGTAGATTAAAAGATTAGCAGTAAATACAAATATGATTTTTTGTTGGTAAAATACCATGTGACACTAATTTAATTTATATTTAGATCTTCCAAGCCACGGATTGAACGTCGACCCGTCCGAACCTCAAGAGATTCCCCTTATGATTCGCGGGGCTCGTTAGAGCGCAACCGCAGACGCGACCAAAGAGTAAGACGCAGCAACGTGACGCGCGGTCCCCAAAATTCAAACAAAGAGACGAGTGCTCCGGGTGCAACAAAGACGACGCACGGTCGCGGGTTTCCCATCAGCAAGGTGCGCATGTCCTCGAGGATCCAACTGTTGCTCGACATGCCCCCAGCCAGCAGAGAGGTGATGGAAGCTAACTCCTGGAACCAAGAGGATAGATCACTTAACATCTACGTTAAAGAAGACGATCTGCTCACTCTCCACCGGCATCCGGTCGCACAGTCAACAGATTCTATCCGGTCCAAGATCGGCTACGAGACAGGTCTTCATGTGTTTGAGTTGACGTGGCCGGTTCAACAGCGTGGTACACATGCTGTTGTTGGTGTCGCTACTAACGAGGCGCCCCTACACTCAGTTGGATATCAATCCCTGATAGGGAACAATGATCAAACCTGGGGCTGGGACCTTGGTAGGAACAAGGCGTACCACGACAGTAACAACAGGCCGGGTGTGACCTATCCCGCCTGTCTAGCCCCGGACGAGACTTTCCAGGTGCCCGATAAGTTTATCATGGTCCTCGACATGGACGAGGGTACAATGTCTTTCATGGTCGAGGGAAATTACCTTGGCACCGCGCACACAGGACTGCGCGGGAAAAAAGTTTACGTTATAATTAGCGCTGTCTGGGGACACTGTGAGATAACTATGCGGTATTTAAACGGGTTAGAAGGAGGACCACTCAGTCTGCTCAACCTTTCTAGGCTGAAGATCAGACAGTGCCTGGGCAAGAAGAGGTTAGAGGAAGGTGAGATAAATAACCTTGTCCTACCCAGGAGCATGAAATCATATCTCAAGTATCAGCATAACTATAGTGAGGAGACTCGATAAGAGTCGGTGAAGAACAAAACTAAAGATTCGTCCTGTATTCGCCCTACTTGCGACTAGAACCATGGACTAGTTTAGACTGAATACTGGACTACTAGTCCACTGTATAGTAGGGTTGATTTAAGAAAACAACCCTCGAGAAAATTCACACAGAAATTTCATGTAAATTAATGAATTGATGACTTAACGGACATTGTGTTCGTTTTATTTCGACCCATAAAGGTGTTCAATAAGTTGATGAAAACGAAATTTCAATATTAAAGCTGGACTTAAAAGATTTACAGAAATTTGGCTAATTTGTAAAACCCACTGACCAATCCTTATTTGAATTTAATTCAGCTGATTTTGAACATCTTTTTTAGCACATTTGTAAATATACAAGTAAAAGTTAGACTGAGACAAAGTAACGAATGAAAGCTATGAAATTATCCTTTTTTTTAAACGCCCGCCTATTTTGAGGCAGTTGATTTGAATTAATAAATTAATTGCTAAATTACATGACAACAGACTTTAAATCTCAGGTGATTGATTCACATATTTCTTCTTGCTAAATACTTTTTCGTTTTTTTTTTAACTTCAGTTAGATTTTTTCTGATTTAAAATCCTTGTTTGCGCCGTAAAAACTTGTTTTCAAAACTGGTTTTATGGTGGAAAGGAGCCATATTATTTTAAATACAGTTTTAATAGAAGTTTAAATATTTGAATCAAGCTTATTGTCGAGAATTCTGATATCATTAAATTAATATTCCCAGCCTATTTATCTTTCTATCTATTACCTAACCTACCTCTGTTGTTGCGCTTTTTTTTCAAGCGTAACTATTACCTAACAAAGCCCCTGTATTTTAACTTCTAAGAATCCCCATTTTTCAAATCAGACCTTATCATATCACGACCCCCCCACACACCTGTGGATCTGATATTTATATATTCTTCTGTAGATAGAAAATTTTATATGTAGATAATACCTCTAAGGGCCTTAAATTAAGTGGGTGTGCTTGCAGCACTCCCCACATGTGACAATCCATTGCCATTCATGCATTTTATTCTTATTTTCTAATCTAAATTCTAGTTAATCCAGAACAATGGCATTATTCAGATGTTTTTTATACTTTTGTACAAAATATAATAAAGTTATTATCTGTAAATGTGCATTTTATTGAAGGGGTTGCCGGGGGGTTAAATACTTATAAATGATATTACAATGTGAAGTTATTGTACAGGCAGTGTTGCAAAAAAAATGATTTTTTCTGTTGTATTTAACATCTACTTCATCTTTTTTCTCTTAAATTATTTAAGAAATTTTTTTTGGAACAAAATTTACATAAAATACAAGGTTTGTTATTATTTAGGGGTAGGTCACAATATCTTGACCAAGCTATGCTAATATATAGAGGACCGTGGGCCGCTCCAAATTTCGTGTCATAAAGTTATATTTCTGAATTCTTAATTTCAGGGGACATTAGTGCCAACCCTATTTCTAACACTTAGTGCAAGTAATGGGTCAGTGTCAGTAATGGGTCAAATCTGTAAAGTTATCTTTTTCAAGCGTAAAAATCTTTTTTATCCCAGCCATGCAGAACGAGGGAGGGAACAACTGGACGTCATGAGCCTCCGCTTTGCAGACATAAGCCTCCTAGAAATGCTAGGCAGACCGAGCCTCCGCTATGCAGTAATCGAGCCTCTACCATACAGCACAGCTTTTTTAAATCTTTGTTTTCAATTGTAATGAAAAAAGTTGACAATTTTTTTTGACATAGTGGCATAAGAATTTTACTTCAGATTAGATTTATTTATTGATTGTCATGATTATAAACATATATAGACTCGGGAAGTGGTTTATAAAATTTATACTAAAACTTTAAACATTTCTTACGCAGCAAGGAAGACATTGGAGAAATATTTCTGGAGTAAATTCAGTCTGTTTTGTACTTAAATAAAATTTTCTAGATTTATTTTGAACTACAAAAAAAGGCATCACTTAAATCAAAGATTTTAAAAGATGAAATGAAATTTAATTCAAATTTTTTTCTTTAAATATTTTCCTTTTCATGTAAAAAATGCTTAAAGTCTTAAATACCACTTAGTCAAAATTAGTAACTATTTATGATAATTGATAAATACTTCTCATTTGAGAAAACTCTCATTCACTACCTCGAAAAATTTGAAAAAATCTTTCTTAGAAATAAAACACAAGTTTTAAAAAACCTCCTGTATTACACAGTCATATTTTGATGTATTGTGAATGCTCATTTCTGCATAGTGTCTGCATAGCGGAGGCTCATGGCGTCCGGGGATTTCCTCCCTCCCAGAACAAAACAGTACATTTATTTAAAATGGGTCGTTGATGGTCGTCTTTGATCTTTAAAATAATCACGCAATTTTTTCATAAGCCTAATTTTATAAGTAAAATTAAAGATCTAGTAATTACAGAATTTACTAGTCTTTCTATTTCCAAAATGTGGTCTGCCTATTTTGTACTTTAAATATTAGTATTACCGGAGAATTTGGACAATTTTGGGATTTATTTGATAAAATTAAAATCTGAACGAAATTCGCAATATCTCCGGTAATACATATTTACAGCACAAAAATGACAGACCAGATTTTGAAAATCCCAAGCCTTGGAGAATTTTGTGGTAATGTTTCAAGAATCATTCATGTTAAAAAGGTTCACTACTGAATTTGTCTCAAATAAATACAACGATCAAAGACGACTTTCAAATTGTCTTGCTACTGTTATGTTTAGAGGGACATTCTGTAAATACAGGGTTACCCACAAAGGATGAGACTGTAAAGACGACCTGAAACTCAGAAAATATGACGATTTAAAGCTTGATTTTTGGTTTCTGCATTCAAACAAATTTCGTCTCTGAAGTCTAATCCCTTGTGGGTAACCATGTTAAAAATTTAAGCAAGACACGTTGTTAACAGTTACCGCATTTCAGCTAATGTTGCGTGGGGAACATATATTCTGATTTCGAATCATTTACTCAAATTCATATTGCCAATTTTCAAGCCTTTACGCACTTTCGGAACAAAAAATTTGTATAAGATAAAATCTACTCGAATAGTAGAAAACATAAGAATACTTCTTCCATAATTTTAAGATCATTACGCCATGCATTGAGAAATAAAAATATCAATATTAGTTTGTTCTCTATATACTTATTTAACAAGAAATGCTAATAAAAATGCTGGAAAATTAATCATCTTTATCTCTCAATTAACAAATAAAATGTGGAAACCTGATTCTAATTCAGCAATTATTTTAGTATTCTGGAGACAATTTTGTTGTTTTCAGTGATTTATTTTGTAAGTTATGAAAAATAGTTTTGTTTTGAATTTCGAATTATACTCAAATAACGGGAAAGTGGAGTTTGTTTCGGAAATGAGACAATGATTACTATTCGGCAGTGTTTAGGATCCGGATCCAAGAGTCAAAATATCAACAAAAAACTTCAGAAAAATCCAGGATTCGGATCCACATCAAAATCAAATGGATCCTAAGCAGTAAGCACTTGCAATTCGGAAATTCAATTTTCAGGATATGCATCAAAATGGAAAGCCTAGCACTGTTGGTGCATGCAATAAGAAATAGGACCTGAACCCGTTTTGGAACTTATAATTTTTTCCTGTTTTAAACTTCCTTACAAGATGGATATCCTAGCCGCCTCACAATACACAAAATAACGTGTGATATTCATCGGACGGCATTTTCGAATTCAAATAGAAATTTCCAAATAATTTCAAAAAGCACTAAATTTTTCTTCGATTTGAAGAAAAAATAATCACATAACAATAATAAATTATTAAATATTAATTATTAAATAAATTTTGCCAAATGTCTCCCCCTTTCCCGTTTTTCTTTCGTTATTCGTTTCCTTCTTTTAATTTTTAAATTTTTCTTTTTTGTCTCACATAGTGTGCCCCTTCGGCAAAAGGGGGGGGGGGGTTGCACGTGCCCCTGTGCCCCCTAGCTACGAGCCTGAACTAAGTAATATATGAAAAGCAACATGAATAGAAATTTTATTTAAGCAAGCGCTCACCATTTATAAATATATTATAGTTTTTCTAAACTGTCAAAATAGATTATTTAAAAACGGAATTTATGGGTTACATGTTTACTGTAGATTTTTAACCCTACTTTATACTCAACTAGTCAAATCAGCTGCAGCGTTACGTTTCAAATTAAACGATTAAAATCTGTTTTCATGGTGCATATTTTTGAGATCAATAAAATCTGGATAAAGACGACTTTCGTCGGACCAAGAAGTCAAAGAACGGCCGAAAGAAAAATTTCTTATAGGATTCCGGCTCAGAAGAAAAAAATTCAGTTTTATATTATTTCAACATTTTTCGAATTTATTGAATACTTTTTAACAAAGATGGTTACTTATAAAATAAAAACCATAATAAATAAGTTAAATCGAAGACGACTTCTCAATCTCATCTCAGAAGTTTTCCTCACCTCTTCAATGTTGCTTGGATTTGTAAATTTCTTAAATATTTAAGCAAAAATGCAGGGACCAAGTTTAAACCGTTTCAAAAATGAAAAAATATGTAAAGTAAACATTACTGTTAACCATTAACTTTAAGACCTCTGAATAATGTCGTCTTCAACTTAAAACCTCCTCTCGGAGACAAAACCAAACCAAATTTCAGCCCGCAATTACTTTGTACTCCGCCTCATGGAGCCTAAAACATTTTTCGTTTATTGTGAAATCATTAAAGTTAAACAAGAATAGTTTCATATAAAACATCAGTGAATTTCATTAAATATTCAAAATGTACAGGGTGTCCCACATCAAATTAGACCGCGTCAATGGGTCTAAATTACAATTTCCGGGATACATCAGAAAATTTAAGAAGAATGAATCATTTTAAAAAATTTAATTAGGCTAATAGAAATTTTTTTTGCAGAAAATGCTAGATTTTGTGAGTATTATGTGCGTATTTTGGCGTTAAAGATTGGAGATAATCTAATATGATATGGGACGCTCTGTAACTTTTTCAGAAGTTTATAAAAAGCATTTCAATACCAATCAACAATAAGTTCCCCTATCATCCCCTATTAAATCGTAAGATTTTTTTTATTATTAACATTCATTACAACATTGTACATGTAACCATGATCTATAATTTATGTTATTTTTTTTAGGAAATAAAGCTTTTGTTATCGATTTTCTTGAGACGGGACAATTCTGTTGTGTGTATTGCTACGACCGACTGGGATATAAGAGTCTGGGGAAATAAATATCCCCCACCAGAATCTCAACGGGTCTTTTATTCAAATTTGTCTGGTGTGTTGCTGTTATCTGTCAACAATTACTTACTTTGGCTATTTTATACACTTTTAATTATAAAGAAGTTTGAAAGGCGAATGTACAATACACAATTGGACTTGAGAAGTTGAGATTAATTTTAATGCATGGAATTTTATGTGTCAATATTTTAAAGTAATAAATTTTTCTACGGTAATACAATACAATTAAGAATAGTGGTTTCAAATACTAAATAACGCATGCAGTTGCAGTTTATTTTTATAGAGTACTAGGCTTTCAGGGCGCTGTGCACCCGTCTTATATTTCAATTTTTAATTGTTGCTTCGTGAATTTTCTCTTTGTATACATTAAAAACAAAAATAAAAAAGTTTGCGAATTATATATGAATTTTCATGGAATTTCAAAGTTTATGAAATCGAAATTTTTTGAAGGAAAATTCTTGAAATTCTATTCTGATCATTCATAAAACTTTCCTGGGTTCATGTGAGGTCCCACCGAAAAATAGGGCCCGATCGGTTCAGTCCTTTTGACGTCTATTGGATACAAACAAACAAAGAGACAGACAAGCAAAGTTTATGGAAGAACATTTTTCTCATTTTCTGGAGTGAGTATAAAGAAAATTTAACGGCGACACTTAGTTAGTTAAATAGTTCCTAAGTGCAAGAAAGAAATCCTTTGACATTTACAATCAATCAGAAATTGATAAATAAACTTTTCTTTAGTTTCAGAAGTAAAAATTTAAAAGAAGGCGCAAACGAGGGAGAGGTGGCATGGATCTTCAGGGTTTGAAATAAAAAACTTACCTTAAACTTTGCACCATTTTGTAAGAAAAAGGCTCAAAAAATGTTTATCGAAAATTTTTT